GTCAAGACTTTTTTGCCTATAAAAGGGAAGGCCATTAGTTCATTTTAGACACACCAACAAGACGTCTTCAATTCTTGTTTCTTCCTTTCTTCCTTTATTAAGAGTGTTTTGTATGAGAGTTAATGTTGGGAAGCACTTGTGTGAACCCTTTCTTTGGAGTGATCTTGTGAGGTTATTCTCTTAGGGTATTTGAGATTAATTAGAGTGTTTACTCTAATTTTGTACTCTCTTTTGTACTCTTATTGTTATAGTAAATTGCTCCTCTCCGCTTGTGGACGTAGGTCACTTTGACCGAACCACGTTAAATTTGTGTCTTCTTTATCTACTTTAATTGTCGTTGTTATCAACTTCCATTGTCTTTGTTATTGTCATTATACCGTTGTTTGGCTATATTTCGCACTACCCGGATTCCCGATCCTAACATTTATCATGGTTGTCCGTCATCGGAGAAATAAATTTCTACCTCTGCCCAAGTTACACCATGGCTAATACTCGTAACCACGCTTGTTGATCTCCACTGATGTCTGTTACACCGTGGTCGACGTCTTCACAGCAACAAAGAGAGAGAGAGAGAGAGAGAGAGAGAGCAAACGATTAAAGAGGGCTGATCAACCACCGCCCAAGAACAAAATAAATTTACATAAATGTCCGCAAGGAAATGCGGGTAATAAGAAAACCTAAAGGCATAAATGTAATTACATGACTTAAAAGGAGGACGACGATGCTGTGTGTTTCCCTATTACTCCCACTTCTTACATCATCAGTTTTGATATCTTTTTGGGCGTTAGCAAAGTTCTCAAAGTATATCATATGTACGATAACACAAACAATCTACATTCAGTTTATGAAAACAAATTGAAGTGCGAGTGCATGCGATAGGCATAAGTACAATTGTGCTTGAATAATAATTAAATCAAACAATTTTACAAATTTCCCTAAGGAAGGATTTTTTTTTTACCTTGAAAGTTTTTCACAAAGAAATAGAGAATTAATCTGTTGATGGTTAATGAGAACAAATCATCACAGTAAGGCAAGATGCAGCAAAAGGTAAACCATGTAACTTTTCGAACTAATTGTAATTAGTCCAGTAGAGAGACTATAGATCATCCAAAATACCCAAAAAGAAAGAAGCACAAGCAACCCTACTACACCAGTAAACCTTACCTTAGTTTCTTGAGAACTTCTCAATTACCCAAAAAGGGAAAAAATGGCATCTAAAATCTAAGAAAACAGTCAACCATAATAGCTAAATATCACCATTTAGCAACCTCAGAGGCTTCTAATTTGAGTATCCAACCAGCAACTGATCCTTGGAAAGAAACAAATATGTACGTTCGGGCTTCGGCCAAATTCCACCGCGCAAAAGAAGGTCTATAATCGTTCCTACCAAGCCGCTGATTTCCACTGGACCATAATAGAATAAACAATTTCAGTTTCTCACAACCAGAAACAAAGAAAGTAGAGAGAATCAGAGAACGTGAAGCTAAGCTGAAGGACAGAATTGAGGAATTGGTAGAAAGGTTCACTACTTTGTCATTATCTAAAAGGGCTCCAAAGTGGCGCAATTTACCCTCAAACAAAAAATCATGTAAGGTGGAAAAGGAATACGCAGGGGCAAAGTTGATACAAAAAAAGGTTTTTGTGACAAATCACTGGATTCAGCTGTCGATTTATAAGGTGCAACACGTGTCAGAATTTAATTACTAAATTACTCTTCAAGCGGCAAGCAGGACGACGAAAAGGCCCTCTATTCCCGTTTCTAAATAGTAGGAATAAAAGGAATTTGCACAACCAAAAATTTAAAGTCCAACTACGATAGGGGGAAAATATTTACGCAAAATTAATAGCATAATTTTGTTGTCTTATAATTTCTTTGTCTTGATTATAATTAATAAATATGTATTGTCACATCATTCTTAACTGAAATAATTTGATTCGTTTTAGTGTTTCAGTTCAATAAATGCTATCGTGAAAGACAGAGTGTCAATGGTTCGGTTAGGTCGATATTTTATGAAAATTTGTATTATACTAATTTTTTAATTATTTTATTTTATATAACTACAATTAAATTTTTTTGAAACCATCCCAATCATCTAGGTTTTTTTTCGGTATCATTACAGTTTGATTAATTTTTAATATTTTTTTTAAAGAAAATATCATGTATAGTAATAGTTAGAAAGCGATGCCAGGCGTACTTGCATAGGACTTTAGCAAAATCTAGATTTTTTTACTATTTAGAGGATGATTAATTAAGGGAACAATGAAAATTGGCCTAAATAGAGATTCATTCCACTATTCCACAACGTAAAATAAATTAAGCAAATACAAGAGAAATACAAATTTACACGAGTAAAAAAGATATTAATCACATTGGGACTTAAGAATGGATTCTAACAAAAGATTAATCCAACAAGAGAAATCTGAATCATATGAGAGGAAAGATATCTAATACCTTGTGGTATGCTACTCAAGATCGCTAGAATATTTTGTGGCTTGCTACTGATCAAGATGCTAGAACTAATTTAATTTAATAGGAGTAGCAAAATATATTTGGGAGTTGGGACTTTATGTGTTAATTACTTGTTAATTTGTAGCCGTTTTCATAATCACAAGGCCTAAAAAAATAAAATTATTGCTTAACTTAATATATAAATATATTTTTTATATATAAATTTATTCTGTACAATTTGCTTATTTTTTAATTTATTTTCATAAAATATAAAACTTAACCTAAATATTTGGTGTGGTTATATGTTTATATAAAACTTATGAATTTAGTAAAAGAAACTAATAATCGGCTCGTTTGATTTAGCCGATTTTTAAATATACATTGACACCCCTACATGAGAAAATAATTAAGTTACACCATATGGTTGTCGGAAAGTCAGTTACGCCCTTAATATTTACGGGCGTCTCTTTACCCATCTACTCTTATTTGAAGTAGAATTTACCACCCTGAAGTATATAATATTAGTTTCATGAGATGGAGTGCGGGAAAGTCGTTACACGTGTGCATGTTGGCGACACGCCATAAATACACTAGATTTTAAAAGTTTCACTCTGTTTTTGTCTATAGAGCTGGCGAAGATTCTCCAGAAGAGGAAGGTCTACATAACGTGTGTTCAGGAGACTAGGTGGGTAGGATCGAAGGCAAAAAATGCGGACGGGTATAAGTTGTGGTACTCCGGAGGCGTGAAGGGCAAGAACGTAGTGGGTATTTTGGTGGATAGGGAGCTCAGAGAGTCAGTGGTAGAGGTTAAACGGGTAAACGACAGATTGATGGCGATTAAGTTAGTAGTTGGAGGGAGCACTCTAAATGTCATTAGCGCTTACACGTCGCAAGCGGGTTTGGACGAGGAGGTTAAAAGGCGCTTCTGGGAGGCGTTGGATGAGGTGATGCGGGGTACTCCGACTACGGAGAAGTTATTTATAGGAGGGGATTTCAATGGTCATATTGGGACGTGTGCTGGTGGCTATGGCGAGGTGCACAGTGGCTTCGACTTTGGGGATAGGAACGGAGGAGGAACTTCACTGTTGGATTTTGCTAGAGCTTTTGAGTTGGTGATTGTGAACTCTATTTTTCCGAAGATGGAGGAGCATTTGATTACTTTCCGAGGTGTGGTGGCTAAGACTCAGATTGATTATCTCCTCCTCAGGAGGTGTGATAAGGGAATGTGCGAGGATTGTAAGGTGATCCCGAGTGAGAACCTCGCGATACAACATAGGCTCCTGGTGATGGACGTCGGTATATTGATAAAGAGGAAGAAGAGGTATGTACGGGGTCAACCGAGGATCAGGAGTTTTGACTAAGGACAATGCGCAAGAGTTGGAGATGCGGTTAACGGCTATGGGGGCCTGGAATAGTGGTGAGGATGCTAGTGTTATGTGGATGGCGACGACGAACTGTATAAGGAAGGCGGCGAAGGAGGTGTTAGGGATCTCGAAGGGTTACTCTGGCGGGCACCTAGGCGACTGATGGTGGAATGATGTGGTCCAGGGTAAAGTGGAGGCAAAGAAAGTGGCATACCTTAAGTTATTGGAGAGCACCAACGAGGAGCAGATGAGAGCGAACAAAGAGAGATATAAGGAAGTTAGGAGGGAGGAGAAATTAGCGGTCACGGAGGCTAAGACTGCTGCGTTTGGTCGGCTGTATGAGGAACTGGGGGCCAAAGATGGGGACAAAAAGCTATTTTGCCTGGCCAGAGCGAGAGAGAGGAAGGCATGTGACCTGGATCAAGTTAGGTGCATCAAAGATGAGGAAGGTCGTGTATTGATGGAAGAGGCCCAGCTTAAGCAAAGATGGCAGACGTACTTTCATAAACTATTGAACGAAGAGGGGGAAAGAAACATCATGTTAGGGGGATTGGGGCACTCCGAGAGTCACCAAGACTTTAGGTACTGTAGGCGTATTAAGGTTGAAGAGATCGTGAGAGCGATGCGTAATATGAGTCGGGGCAAACCGACCGGACCAGACGAGATCCTAGTAGACTTTTGGAGGAATGTGGGTAGAGAAGACTTGGAGTGGCTGACTGGGCTGTTTAATGTTATTTTCAGGACGAAGAGGATGCCAGATGAGTGGAGGTGTAGTACGATGATTCTGCTGTACAAAAACAAAGGTGATATCTAGAATTGTAACAACTATAAGGGTATCAAGTTACTGAGTCATACCGTAAAAGTTTGGGAGAGGGTGGTGGAAGAGAGGGTAAGAAGGACAGTGTCTATATCAGAGAATCAGTTCGGGTTTATGCCGGGTCGTGCTACTACGGAAGCTATCCACCTAATAGGAGGTTGGTAGAACAGTACAGAGATAGGAAGAGGGATTTTCACATGGTGTTTATTGACCTAGAGAAGGCGTATGACAAGGTACCTAGGGACGTTCTTTAGAGATGCGTGGAGGTGAAAGGTGTTCCGGTAGCTTATATTAGGGCAATTAAAGATATGTATGATGGATCTAAGACTCGGGTTAGGACTGTGGGAAGTGACTCAGAGCTTTTTCCGGTAGTTGTGGGGTTACACCAAGGATCTGCGCTCAGCCCATTCTTATTTGCCCTAGCGATAGACACACTGACATACCATATTCAAGGGGAGGTGTCTTGGTGTATGCTTTTCGCTGATGATATAGTTCTGATTGATGAGACATGAGGCGGTGTTAACGAGAGACTGGAGGTATGGAGGCAGGCCCTAGAGTCTAAAGGTTTCAAGTTGAGTAGGACCAAGACGAAATATTTGGAGTATAAATTCAACGACGTGTCGAGGGAATCAGATGCTGAAGTGAGGCTTGACTCACAAGTCATCCATAAGAGAGAGAATTTCAAGTACCTAGGGTCTATTATCCAAGGATTTTGGGAGATTGACGGGGATGTCATACACCGTGTCGAGGTGGGATGGATGAAATGGAGGTTAGCGTCTGGAGTCCTGTGTGACAAGAATGTGCCACCGAAACTTAAAGGTAAGTTCTACAGAGCATGGTTAGACCGTCCATGTTGTATAGGGCTGAGTGTTGGCCAGTCAAGATTTCACATACCTAGAAGATGAAAGTAGCAGAAATGAGGATGTTGAGATGTATGTGCGGACACACTAGGATGGATAAGATTAGGAATGAGGATATCCAGGAGAGGGTTGGCGTGGCTCCCGTGGATGACAAGATGCGGGAAGCGACGTTTAGATGGTTCAGGCACGTGTGGAGGAGAAGCCTAGATGCTCCGGTTAGGAGGTGTGAGTGGTTGGCTCTGGCAGGTACGAGAAGAGGTAGAGGGCGACCTAAGAAGTATTGTGGCGAGGTGATCAGGCAGGATATGGCGCGACTTCAGATTTTCGAGGACATGGCCCTTGATAGGAAGGTGTGGTGGTCGAGCATTAGAGTTGTAGGTTAGGGGATAGTCGAGCGTTTCTCCTCGCTGTGCCGGCTAGTCTGATAGTGCTTTGTCTAGGACTACTAGCGGTTTTTATTGTGTTTTATATTTTTCTATCTTTCACATTTTGGCCTTTCCATTTATTTGCTGTATTTTACGATGCTGATACTATTTTTCTGATTTCTGTTGTTGTTACAGATCTATTATCTATGAGTCGAGGGTCTCCCGGAAACAGCCTCTCTATCCCTTCGGGTAGGGGTAAGGTATGCGTACACTTTACCCTCCCCAGACCCCACTAGTGTGATTCTACTGGGTTGTTGTTGTACTCTTTTTTTGTTTTGTTTTTGTTTTCAATCACAGTTTTTTCCTTTTATTACTCATTATACACTAATTAATCCTTGTTTAACCATTTAATCCCTGATTCTGAACCCACTCCAACCCCAGTATACGATTCTGGTGACCACTAAAGAGGATGAAATGATCAAATAGGAAGAATTGAAATTATGCCAAATTAAACTAAAGCATGAATAGAGATGGAAAAAACTTACAGATAGCATAGCTATTTACAAAGATTTAATATTATCACTTTAGATGATTGTTTAATTTAGCATTATTCCTCTATCTTGCCGGAAGGATCACCTCTCTACCGAGCCTCCCTTCATCTTCAATCTTCAAAATATCTCACAACTACAAATTAAACCCCATTAATTCACCATTTCTTTCCAAACACCATGTCTGGTGCAGCCGAAGCAGTAGATCGGAGAGCTTTGCCGGAATTCGTTAATTTTGTTCAATGAGGTGACTGAGGGAGAAGAAGGATAAAGCAAAGAAGAAAGAGCTTACTGTGGGAGTTTGTTCCTCACTGTACTAAGTAAAGGAAAGAAAAACTAATGTCTTAATACTTAATAGGACTTTCAGCTAAGTGTTTAACTGACTTTTTCGGACAATTATGGAGTACAAGTTATGTATTTTCCCTAGATTTTATAAAAAGAGAAGAAAAGGAAACCAAACCAACTATTTTTAATTTTCTTGGTTCAATTTTTTCCGTTGGCACATCAAAAAAGGTCATGAATAAACTGTTCCATAAGTCACTATATTTTATAGCAACAAATGAACACAATTATTTCCTTCCATTAATCTAACAACAAACACACACACACACACATATATGTGTGTGTGTGTGAGAGAGAGAGACTAAAAAGAACAAAGAGACGACACCTCAAATGTTCTCCAAAATATAACACAAACTCAATATGAAACTTAAACAACGATATGCTTCATTTATTTTCAAACCGGAGTGTAAATTCCAGAGCCTTTTGAAGTTGATGGTCTTAAAACTCCTCTAGGAGGAAAGTAAACTACCATAGCAAAAAGGAAATCAAAGCAGTCTCTTTGCCAAGCGCTTCATAACAGTAGAATTACAAAAACTTTTGGAATTTAGGAACTCAACTCTGACATTTATATAGCAACAACTTTTGATATTCAAAAAGCTACATGGCGCCAAGGTGCCAACTTTTGATATGCAAGCATAAAGGTTGCTGTGAGCCCTTGTTTTATGTTACAAATACACGTACGAAAAAATGAATAAAAATATCTGCTGCTCATGATTTTATACTACCTTTGCTTGCTCATGATTTTATACTACAGCCTATTTCCTTGTGCAGAATAAGACATCATTTTCATGCAGAAGAAAAGCTTGGAAGGCTCTTTAAAAACTTTGCCCATGCAGCAAGGTCAGTGGAAAATCGACCCAAAACAGCAATTGTAGCTGTACTGCTTCCAAACTTCTCAATTCCTCTAGATATCATATTATCATGCATGTGTGACTTGCTTCTACCACTACCATTATACCTTCCCCTAAAAGGGATGAAGTGGTCTCGGCTATCTACCTGGTAAGCCTCTCCTGTACTTGCAGTTTGAAGCCATAAAAATGTACAATTGACTGCAATTCGCTTCTTCCAATGGAATTAAGTCCATTTGAAGAGAAATAACCTATATGCACAATACCTTGAAAAGGAAGTAAATGATGTTCACATTGGGACCAGAATGGTAAGTTGAGCTCAGAACAGATAAAGTCCTTAGCATTGCCAACCTTACCACAAGGACTTGAACTATTAATTCTACTTTGAAGAAAGCCATTCAGTTTCATCTCCATATTAGAGTTTCTAAAGTTCATTAACCACTTCAAGAAACGATATGGAGTACCTACAAGCTCTTTCCTTAATGGGTCTTCCCCCAAAGACTTGAGTATTGAAACCACTGCATTGGTCATAGTTGAATTTGATTGTTCCAACTTGTTGCAAGACTGAGATGGGCACCATGATTGGTCAAACACCCCAGGATGGGCGTTTTCTTTGCTTATACCTCTGAAATTCAGAAGAGTAAAAAGATCAGCCCAAATGTCCGCCTTCTCGTCCTCAAAAACACCAGAACCAGAGCTAACTTGTATCTTCACCCAACTTTTGTGAGAGGTGTCAAGGAAGGCTGATTCAGAATTTGGAAAATGAATGTGCAAACACTGCAAAACAACAGCAACACCTGCAAAGCAGTGCAAATTTCGTCAGCAAGACGCTTTGGAGCTTGGAGCCGTTTCGCAAAGATATCAGCTACACGAGAGAGCTTGCTTAGTCCTACAACCCTTTGGCCAGATGGGACATAACCAACTTGACACCTAACCTGGAATGGAAGCAGGCAAGACTCACAGTAGGAGAAGAGATCAAGATCACGAACAATCACAAGCCCACCTGCTCCTCCAGCTTGACCACTTCCACCTCCCAACCCAGCTTCAGGGAATAACGCACCATGAACAACATCATTCACGTTTTGTTTATAACCTTCGTACAACAACCAAAAAGATGAAAATAGTCAAACAACATTTTAAAAAGAAAAGTAAATAGTCAAACAGTGATATTTAAAGCATCAACCAACACAATAAGGTAGGACTGGAAGTATGACTAA